TGAGGGCCTTGGGCCCGGCTGATCCAGGGTAAGGCCAGGGCCTGGGCCAAACCGGTCTAGGGCAGTGCCTGCGCAGGCCCTTGTATTGAGTGTGAGGGCCTTGGGCCTGAGCTGATCCAGGGTAGGGCCAGGGCCTGGGTCAAACTGGTCTAAGACAGGGCCTGCAGCCTGCGCAACGGACGGGGTCCTGCGCAGGGCCAATGGCAATGGTGTGAATGGGGCAGGGATGATATATTGTGTTAGTGCAACTCCTTTGCCCTGATCACAATGTTATATTTTATTTTGGTATCCTTCCTTTGCAAAAATACCATAAGATTTAAGTTTCCCACATTCCTCCATCTCCATCGAAATTGGATTGACCAAGTGTACACAGAAATGGTTCTAAAACAATGTATTTGTGTTTGTCATTCGAGTAGGAATGAAAAACTTGGATAAAAATCTCGTCAGTGTACCCCTCAGAATCCTTGAGAGAATATAATCTCAATTTCATGATTATTCCATCTTTTTCACTAAAGGTTCATTTGCGAGTAAAGTCGGCATCCGCTTCTTCATCTATTATGATCTTAAAAAGGAAGTTTTTCAGTAAAGGTTCCTTTGCGAGTAATGTCGGCATGCGCTTCTTCATCTGTTATGATCTTAGAAGGAAGTATTGTTGTGTGCACATCACACACCTGTTCAAAAAATAAAATAAAAAATTAAAAAAAAAAATCCATAAATTAATTAATTCATGTAGTTGTCTTAAGCCAATATTCCTCAAAGAACATATTCACCATCATCACCACAAGAGAGAGGCCCGAAGGCCAGGGTATAGTCTGCACGGGCCGGTCTAGAATAGGGAAAGGAAACAATGTATCATCCGAAAAGACACTATGTATCATCATTTAGCAGCTTGTCGTCAATCATTTTAAGGCACAAGAAAATACTAAACGTAAACCATCAATGTCATGATTCTTTAAGTAACGGTTTAAAAAACATAGGTAAGACACATAATTAAGTAATTGTTTAAAAAACATAGATAAGAAACATAATTACACCCTAGCTGCAGTTTTCATAAAAACAGATTTTCTTTCAATTAATGGTCCAAATATGAATTATTTCCGTAATACTTTGATCCAGATGCAGAATCTTTGGTATGTGTTTTTTTTTTAAACCATTTTTGCAACTACATGTCTTGTGGTTAAGGAAATAAGCGAAATGTTATGTTCGTGCAATTCCTTTGCCCCAAGCGCATTGTTGGTGTGCCGATAATAGTTCTTATTCATGCCCAAACAAAAATAGTTACACATAAAAAATTTGATCCAAACAAAAATAGTTACGCATAAAAAATTTGATCTCGAGGTAGTATCTTTTCTATGAGTTTTTTTGAAATCATTTTCGCAATTTATGGTTAAGGAAGTAAGTGAAATGTTATGTTCCCGCAACTGCTATGTTCCTGCAACTCCTTTGCCCCAAGCACAATGGTGATGGGTACCTAATACTTCTGATTCATGCCCAAACAATAATAATTGCATATATAAAAAAAGTTAATTACAGATAATTACAGCAAAAAGAAAACAATGCACGATTTCTAAAGAGATCTAACCTTATTCAATCACTTAGTATTTGAATTTGGTATCTTTCCTTTGTAGAAATATCAAAAGATTTGATTTTCTCACATTCCTCTATCTTGAACACCGGAAACTCTTTTTATGAACTACAAAAAATTGACCAAAGTGTACATAGAAATGGTTCTAAAACTGTACCGATCAATAGAGTACAAATGAAAAACTTGGATGAATTAGTGTTTGGTGTACCCCTCAAAATCCTTGAGAGAACATGAATACCCTTCATTTCATGATTGAAAGAAAGACCTATGTAATCTTTTGCTGGAGAAATACAATTTTTTATTTTTTTTAATAATCACCACTTATAATTTTAGCAACAAGATCACTCACAGATGGCCTTTTTACAAATAATAGAAATTCCAAAAATTAAATAACATATCAATAAAATAAATCTCAACTACTTGATGCCATTCATACAACCTAATACTGTGTTTGAGATTATAAAATAAAAAACAAACAATTAAAAGAAATGATATTGGAGATTACTTCAATCGGGCTTTTTACACCCCACACCGAGTTACCACAGCCAATGGTGTGGGATCAGCGGTCTAGCTTCAATCTCGAACCGAAAAAGCTAATTTCGACTAAATTAGGTAACCACCTTTAAATTTCTACAAAACCCTAACTCCAAAATCCTAACTCCAAAATAATTAAGCATTTTCCTAACTCCAAAATAATTAGGCTCAAATCCTAATTTTTCCGATTCTTAGGTAACCATATTTAAATCTCTAAAAACCCCTAACTCCAAAATAATTAGGCACAAACCCTAATTTTTCCAACTCCAAAATAATTAAGCTCAAGCCCTAATTTTTCCAACTCTTAGATTAGATCATGAGAGAGAGAGAGAAAATAAGATAGTAGAGAGAGGGGCGTGACCGTTAAGGAAGAGAGAGAGGGGCATGGCCCCTAAGGATGAGAGAGAGAGAGTTTATGGGAAAGAGAGGTGTGTAGAGATGGGGGAGAGCATCCCTATTTATAGTGAAATTTAAGTTTAGGGTTTCACATAGTTTGCCTCTTTCTTGAGATTGAATATAGACCGTTGATCAAAATAACTTGTAGGGTGAGAGATCTAAGCCATCCATTCTATAAATGGGCCATCAACCTTATGGAAGGTGCATGAACCATTATCCCCCTTTCTTTAAACCATTTTCCTATCAATATATTTAAATAAATTAAATCCATTAAAGATACAGGGCATACCATAAATTGCATATTCCATGTCATATTTTCCATAAGAATATTTCAATAATATCAAATTAAAATATTCCTTCAATAATCAAGATAAGATATGGTCAATATTTTCTAATCAATATTTGACCACAGGCTACAAGATGTAGTTACCATTTTTAACAAACTTGAAGACAAAACAAGATAAGGTATCCAAGGGTGGGGCTTGCCACCCATGTATGGTATGTGGGGCCCCACCTAATACCCACATGGTTGACCCATATGCACTATGGCTCCCCATGTATTTTTTTTAATAAATATTTTAAAATGAATTTTCAACCATTATAATTTTATAAATTAATAACTTCACTTTTAAAAGTTCAAAAATAAGAAATAAAATATCAAATGACTTACAAAAAATTTAAATAATAAATCTAAAATAATTTAATAATAAAATCAACATGATTAAATTATTATGATGGGAAGTGGATCCATATGGTTCAGGAATTCAGTCAATGATCACGGGGTATTCCACCTTCAACTGTGGACTACAGACCACATTTGCTTTATCGAACCGACCCAGTGTTTCCCATGACCCATTGTCCAAGCAGGGGCTCATTAACGAGTCACCAAAGTCTGGTCAATGAGCCAAGGAGTCGCAATTCCAATCTATGGATTATAGGTCCTGCCCTAGAGATAAGTCAAGATCACCACGACCTGATACAACCACAGCTCTATGGCGCATAAGAATATCTCTTGCACATGCAAATGCTTCACCCAACTGTGGATATCAAGTTTTCCTGAACGATCTATCTATATGCATGCCGTGTGATGGAACATGGATGAGGTTTTGGGCCCCGTCTCTATAGGCCTACCATCACACACAAGGGTCACACAGTCCCTCGGCTCACTCATCTAGGCATAAGCTCCGACCTCATTAAGGGCTAACCTAAAAACCCTTCTCGGTTTATTTTGTATGCCCAGGTACCTTGGGTTTTTCAACCGACTGGCCTAGATCGTTAAGCACAGTCTGTTATCCGTAAATATCATTTCCTTAGTATGGTCTTTGAAGGACCACACTCCCACTGAGTTATGTTCCACTATAGTAAATGTTTTTTATTACACACTCGTAAGGCCTTTATAGGCCACATAAACCCAACAATGGTTGCTACATCTTTTTTCATTTCATGATTACTACATCTTTTTCACTAAAGGTTCATTTGCAATTCATTATCCCCTTCTTCTATTATAAGTATGATCGTAAAAGGAATTATTGTCGATTTCATGGTTATTACATCTTTTTCAAGGTTCATTTGCCACTAATTCCAGCATCCCCTACATTATTAGGGAAATGTTTCGATTTGAAACGAACGGCTACGATTGTTTATACCACAATGTCAAGTCTGTTTTATTTTTAATTTTTTTTATACAAAACATTTTTGGATGCAATTTTCGGTATCCCATTATAACATTAAGGCAAACTAGGACAAAACATATGTTTTAGGTAAAAAAAAATACCCATGTAATTTTTAAGAGATATTTTGGTAATTTTTATCACTGAAAATATTTTTTAAATATTTTTATCGTGTGCCCTCCACTTTCAAATCTATGCACCCCAAATTTTTATTTAAAAATTATATGTAGAATAAAAAATAAAAATAAAAATAAAACAATATGATCGATCTAATCATAAAGTGCTAGCTTGTGACATTATGATTCAAGCCATCTCATCGGTCTACTATTGCTGCTGTTCTCGAGCAAGGGAAGGGCCAAGTTTGTAGCCAGGTTTGTAGTCTACGCAGGGCCAAGTTTGTAGCCTAGTCAGAGGCCATGGTGCGCAGGGCCATCTCATCCGTCTACTAGGCTGCTGTTTCAAGCAAGGGAAGGGGGCCAGCGCAGGGCAAGGTTAAGGCACTGGGCAAAGCACCTGTGTTCGGAGCAAGGGCGTGGACAATGGACCAGACCCGGATCTAACGGGTGGACCCTCCAAGTCATTTGCCACCAGAGATGGCTGGTTGCACCCCTATCCATTAACCGTAACTGTCTTTTGCCAAAGGCATATAGCCGAGTGACCCGGTCTCTCTCTGTCTTCTCTCCGTCTCTCTCTCTACATAAAGAAATATAACCCAACCAAGCCATCTCTCTTTCTTCTTTCCCTCTTTCTATATAAAGAATAGAACCCAACTAAGACGCGGTTTCCAATCCCACCATTTTAAGGGCTTCCAATCCCACCATTTTAGGCTTCCAATCCCATCATTTTAAAAGCTTGCACCACCCATTCTCGGTGGCACTTTACACCCACCCAAATGGTGTGGGCCTCATTTCCCCCTCCCCTCCCCTCAATCAAGCTGCTCTCCTAAAGCCGGTAATGGCAGCCGTCCAGTAGGCCTCTTGTGGGCCCCAACTCCCAAATCAATGGCGGAGAGGGTCCCTCTACCTCCTCTTCAGGCCGGCCTGAATCCTTACCCACCTGCCGGAAACCAGCAGGAGTTTCGATCAGGAACTTATGTCGTCCAAATCCCGAAAGACCAAATCTATCGAGTCCCACCCCCTGAAAATGCATACATTGCAAACAAATATCAAAACAATCCTCGGCGTAGTCAAAAGAAGCGTTGGTGTTGTTCTTGCTGTTGTTTGCTATGGCTGATTGTTTTTATAATCGTCACTGTGATTTTGGCTGGAGCCTTTGTTGGAATACTGTATCTGGTAGTGAAATCAGACATTCCTCGATTCTCTATTGAGCACGTTGCGGAAAATTCGAAGGCTTTATCACAATTTCAAGTAAATTTAAAGGGTGAGAATGGAAATTCAAAGTTGGTTTTGCGGTATTTAAATGGGGGAGTTGTGGGCCTCGAGCATTTAGGATCGAAAATTGGCACCGGAAAGTGGCCTGAATTTGAGCAAGGTAGCGGGAATTCGAAGGTTTTCCGGCTAGTCACAAAGGGATCAGATGCGGTTATAAAGCAGCTGAAGAAGAAGCATGGAAACAAGAGTTTAACACTTGTTCTAAGGGCGCAAGTCCCCATTCGGTTTGAATGGAAAGGAATAAAGAGTTGGGTTATGAGTATGGATGTTAGGTGTGATTTCAAGGTCGACAAGTTGGGTGTGAATTCTAGGGTTTTATCAGAGGAATGTGATGCGAAATTGAAACTATAAGGAGAAGGAAGAGAGGAAGAAGCTTGTAGATGCAACTCCAAAAGAGGAGGAGAACAAGGTAGAAGAGAGAAAAGGTGGTGTAATTGTTATGCATGTGATTCTTTTTCATGTGTTGTTTTTTAAGTTTATTGGGGTTTTTCAAATTTTCAGCATGCAAGCTTCCATGAAAGCTTAATTATTTCTTCAACTAAAGATTGTGGTGATATTCTATATATATATTTTTTTTACTTGATATTTTTGGTGGTGGGGATGAGCGCTTTACAAATTGTATCTCATTAACAAGAGGAAGCAGCTGAATTTTTTTATTTCGCTTAGGCAATTCAAATAACTTGTTCCTCTTATTGTTCACTTGATGTATGTTATTGAAGTGGGTAAACTACCTTCCAGTGATTATTGATGAAAGAGAGAGACCATTATAAATACTAGCTCTAGTAATTATGGAGGCAAAAATAATAATGACAAGTACTCCAACTTGATCTTTGTTATTGTATAAGGGTAGGTTGTCCTCATTACAAAACACCATTTCCCACTACAAAATACATTTTTTTACATGCTTTTGAGAAACCTTCCTAAATATTATTTCCTCGTGACATTTTTAATTAGGAAAAAGTTTATATAAGGTTGCAACCTTATAATATTAAAGTATGGCGTACCTCAAAAATCCATTAGAAGAGGATGTTCCGATATTGGAAGACCCTCAAATTGATTATCTTGAACTTAATATGTATGGATATGAAGAAAAAAAAAAAAATTCAATTTTGAAAAATAGTTCATCGTGTAGCATGTTATTTGGACGGTCTATTTTCAAGATTTTCAAATGTTTATATATCTCTTGATTAAATTTTATAACTAGGGATAAGATTAGATTTTAAAGGCATTATAAGGTTTTTAATACTAGAACTGCATCTCTAAACAAATTTTGGAGACGCGCTTTACTTCTACAATATAAGGAGGGCAGCTTATACAAACCTCATCCTTTTAAAAATAGCCTTAACTTAAGGATGAATAGTGGAGAATAACAGGAGGGATTTCAACCTTGATGTTCTAAACATCAAGTCCCAACGGAATGCACTCAATCCCCACATTCATTTAATGGGATCTCCACAAGAGTGAATCATTTATGGAAAAAGTTTATATAAGGATGTAACCTTATAATGTAGAACTACGATGCACCAAAAAAATCAATCGAAAAAGGTAGTTTTAATGTTGAAAAACCCTTCGATTGATCATCTCGACATCAAGATGTGTGACCATGAAAATAAAAATATTTTTAAGTATCATAAATAGTGCATTTTACAACATATTATCGACACCGTCAATTTCAAGATTTTCATATGTTTATAGATCTATTTGATTTTAACCATTTTTTAAATTTAAAATTTTATAATTAGATATAAAAATAGATTTTTAGATAATCCTAAGAACATTTTACATCAAAATTATATACCATGATAAAATTTAAAGGTGCACCTTACCTCCAGAGCGACGGATGCATCTGTTTGCCAACTACACCCATCATTTATTTATTTTATGAGACCTTCCTATATCAACAAGGAAAAAGTTTATACAAGGTCTTAACCTTATACTGTACTGGTAACGTGCACCTAAAAAACCCACTAATGAAGATGATTCCTATGCTGGAAAACCCACAAATAGTTCACCTCGACCTCGTGGTTCATAGACATGAAAAAAGAGGGATTTGTTTGTCCTAAAAATAGTTCATCTTCTAACACATTATTTAGACAGTCAATTTTCAAAATTTTCAAGTATTTGTAGATCTGCTCGATCATCATCATTTTTGAAATTTTAAATTTCATAATTGGGGGCAACAATAGATTCTCATATCATCGGAAGGCTTTGCGGCACCGAAACTAAATTTCAGCATAGTCTTGAGGCGCACCTTAGTTCAATAGTATAAGGTTGACACCTTATACAAACCTCAACCTATCAACAATCCTCATATTTTTGTAGAACATATTTTAATATTTAATGACAACTCTAGATGTTGCCCCACTCAATGAGCTAACCATCAACTCCATAGAAGACCCACTCAATACTCCCTTTGTTAATCAATGGGATCTCCACAAGACTCAATTATATAATTTTATCAAATATTCTTAAACTATAAAGCATCTGTTATATTTTAAATTTAGGTTACAGAGTTACTGTGTACTGTAACGCATCCTTCAAAACTAAGGGTAAATTCAAGCTCTGGGACACAGAGCACGAAACCTATAAGATTGTCCAAAGACATGTCCTCAAAACATATCGGTTTAGGGCAAAAGATGTCCTTACATGTTGAAGATCATGGGCAATGCCAACCCAACCCAACCCACCACGCTCCTGACCTTTCAAGAGGGTTTGCTTTCTTCCCTGGGCCCCCATCTGTCATGTGCAAGACCAGGCTATAAGGGATCAGTTGGTCTTGGGTGCTAATGAAGCTCAGGAACCCCTTAAACTTGCCAAATTAGGACTAAACTTGCCAAAAACTACCCTAAGACCTTGCAAATTTGACCTAACCCTAGATTAAGGACCCTAAACCCTGACCAAACCTTAATCACCTTTGATCACACTTAAAACCCCAATTTTGGCCCGCTCCCCTCTTATTAAAATACCGATGAAAGCCATTTATCAACCTTAAAGGCATAAGAACCCCTCTATCAATGTCTGGAAACTCTTAATGGGTTTGTAGACATGTGGCAGGAAACCTCCCCTTTCTCGAGCCTACAATATTTTGTGTGCTAACCTAACTCAATTAGGCAAAACCGTATCCGATCAGGACTTCGACCCATGAGCCTTAGTCCTCCTGGAAAACCCGAACCCTAATTCCCACACCAACAAACCATGGCGTTCCTTAGGACACAACGAACCCAATCTTAACCCTAAATACACAAAAAACCTAGCCATGGCTGTCCTTCGAGGAGAACCCCAGGCAATTTGTCCTCACCTAGGTCTTCGCCACCTCTAGCCAAAACAAACTTTAAGACTCAATCAAGAACACTGCTTAGCCTCGATTTGCAGACTCTGAAGAGTGGAAGAAGTCGGCGCTTCAATCATGGATCTAAATCAAGCTCCCAACTCTAGGTCCCAGGCCTATAGGTCCAGTAAGCTCTTCTTCTTCCCATCTTTATTTTATTTCATCTCTTACTTAGGTTAATTTTCATATGTAGTTTAGTTCATCGTTTTCGAAAATCATTTCTAAAACTCTCCCCCCTTTACTCTCAAATCTTTCCAAGCATCATTTACGAGGCGGATTTTCAATTTTACTCCCTCACAAGGTGGCAGTGACAGTAATCCATGAAAGGAAGGTCTCTCGACTCGCCTCTTTCGTGGATCATAATTCAACGTAGTCCTTTTTCTACTACCGATCGATGTGTTTAGGTTCTAAAATCTTGTTACTATGGTCAAAGCACCATTCGCCTAGAAATTTCAGGTATAAACAACACGCCTTATATCCCGCATCATTCTCTTCCACCACTTGTATTCTAGATTGCCCTGTTCCCTGGGCATAGAAGGGCAAAGAAGAAAGTGGAATAGCATTTTTCAGTGACCAACTTTAAGAATTGTTGGCAAGAATGCTGATATGACCCTCCAATGAGAGATGTCCTTATTGATGGATTTATGTTTTGATTTCTATCTTCTTGCTTTCACTGTGAAATTTTTACAAACGCTTTGCTTCCATAGTCTCCACATCAAATCATACATCCAACTTCGTCATGCATCTGTTTTTTCGATAAGGACACAAATATTAGCCTCTTTGATACCCTATTGTAGAGTCCTTGGGAACCCCTCACATGCATATCTTTGAAACCCAAATGTTGGGATCCTACTCATGACAATGGACAAGTTGACTAAATATGAAATAAATGAATATAAAAAAAAATCGGTTGTAAAATATAGAACAAATATAAAAGCATGCCACAATAGTACAAAAATATACTCGTTCACCCTAAACGTCCACACCTATTGCCTTGGTAATTAGAAATCCACTATCTTACTAAAATTAAAGTTTTAATCCCCACTGATCTTCCTTTCTAAGCCCACTATTTTGATAGAACAATGCCACTAATTACCCTCTTCTTTCCCACCACTACATTGTTATCTAAATAAAATATTAGTGCAACCAAGATACATTTTTTCTTTAGAAGTGAAAATTCAACCAATCCGAAACCTCATGGGAATATAGACCTTCTCTAGGAGGCTATATATCTCCCTCTCTTGGAGACCCATCTCTCTCATGGATATCCATTCCCTAGCCCCAAAAAAGGATGTGTATTACGGCTTTCTTTAGAATGGAAAAATGTGGTTCTATTTTTCTTAAAAGATTCATAAATTTTAAAAGTATTTAACAAATTTAAATATTTTGTTTAAAAAATAAAGTGGTTTTCAAATTAAAGTAATAAGGTATAATGGAGATTGAGAGTACAATTCTCAAGTGCTTTTTAATTGATAGTACAATTCAAAAGCTTTTTAATTACATTTGAATTGAAGTAATAAAGTCCAAAAAGCATTTGAATTGTACTCCCAATCTCTATTAGACCTTATGAAAACCACTTTATTTTTCAACAGAAGATTTGAACTCCTTAAGTATATTTCAAACGTCTTATTCTTCTAAGAAAATAGGCATTTGAAATGTACTCTCAATCTCTATTAGACCTTATGAAAACCACTTTATTTTTCAACAGAAGATTTGAACTCCTTAAGTACATTTCAAACGTCTTATTCTTCTAAGAAAATAGGCCCGCATTTTTCTATTATAATGGTCAATAAATGAAAAAAAAACAACCGACTTTATCCAAGTGAATTGGTTTAAGATGTCCACACACATTCGAATACACAAGTTAGAGAACTTCTAGTGCTTTTCTTGATTTTCCACTCTTTAAGCTTTTTCGACGGTGCTGTCATACAATGCACTTTTCGTATAAGCCATTTGGTTTCTTTGTCCATAGCAATCCATTCACTCTATTTACCATTAACAATAACCTCAAACTACCAAAATTAAAATGCCTAAATTTTAAATTTTATATATTGTCCTCTGGTGGAGAGACCCATCTCTTCATGGATATCCCTTCCCATGACCCCAAAGGGTGGCCCTTAAAATAATGTATATTATGGCTTGCATTACAATGGAAAATTGTGGGGTCTATTTTCTTAAAAGTATAAGAAGTTTTAAAATGATTTAAAGTATTTAAATCTTATGTTTTGGTTTGCAAGTTAAAGTAATATAGTCTATTAGAAATTGAGGGTACAATTCAAATGCTTTTGAATTGTATTTGAATTGAAGTAATAAGGTCTGCAAAGCATTTGAATTGTACTCTCAATCTGTATCACATCTTATTACTTTAATTTGAAAACCACTTCATTTTTCAACAAAATATTTGAATTCTTTAAGTACTTTCTGATTCTTTTAAAAAAATAGAGATGCATTTTTCCATTATAATAATCAATAAATGTAACAAAAATACCGGCTTTATCTAAGTGAATTGGTTTAAGAGGTCTACACACATTCGAATGCACAAGTTAGATAATCTTTGATGATTTTTTTGATTTTCCACTCTTGAAACTTTCTCGATGTTGCTTTCATACAACGCACTCTCTCCATAAGCCAATTGGTTGCTTTATCCAATGCAATTCATTCACCATATTTACCATTGACAATAACCCCAAACCATCAAACTTGAAATGCTCAAATTTTAAAATTTTATATATCTCCCTCTCTCTTGGAGACCTATCTCTTTCATGGATATCTCTTCCCATGACCCAAAGGGGTGATCCTTAAAAGGATGTATATTATGCTCTCATTAAAATGGGGAAATGTGGGCCTATTTTCTTAAAAGTATAAGAAGTTTTACATGTATTCAAGGAATTTAAATCTTTTGTTTAAAAACAAAGTGGTTTTCAAATTAAAGTAATAAATTGTGATAGAGATTAGAGTATAAATCAAATGATTTTGAATTGTATTTGAATTGAAGCAATAAGGTCAAGAAAGCACTTGAAAATGCACTCTCAATCTCAATCACACCTTATTACTTTAATTTGAAAACAACTTTACTTCTCCAAAAATCAAAAAAGGATTTGAATTCCTTAAGTTCTTTTAAAACTTTTGATTCTTTTAAGAAAATAGACCCGCATTTTTGCCATTGTAATGATCAATATATGTAACAAAATGCCAACTTTATCCAAGTGAGTTGGCTTAAGAGGTCTACACAATTCGAATGCACAAGTTAGAAAATCTTTAATCTTTTTTTTTATTTTCCACGCCTGAAGCTTTCTCTATATTGCTTTCATACAATCCACTCTTCGCATAAGCCATTTGGTTGCTTTATTCCATTCACCATATTTACTATTGAAAATAACCTCAAACCATCAAATTAAAAATGGAGGTTGTCTACAAAGAGACCATTTATTTTTTCATTCTTGTCCCTTCAATTTTAAAATGGGTGGTTTGCAGAGTGTCATTAAATAGATATAGTTCTAAAAACAAAATCTCGGACTTCATGAGTGCCCCAAGCCATCTAATTTGATATTTAATGAGTGATAATGATTGTGATCTCCACATACAAAAGATAAATGGTCTCTTTGTAAATAATATTTTAAAAATGCCCAAATTAAGTCATAAAAGTGATTTATCATTCAAAATAGACTCAAGGCATTTCAAATTTAATTTTGAATAATCTAAGGGAACATTCTATTTGAAATCACTTGGGCCATCAAAATTTTCCTTTCCTCCCTTGTAGAAAGGCCTCCGTTATGGCCTTTCCCTAAGAGTTTTGCCAAACTCAAAATGTTATTTTTCATGCGAAGCACATAATACACATCAGAACAAATTGATGAGCACCATTTATCATTTGAATTGAAACTTTGTGTATCCTTTAACCAGTCTCATAGATAAATCTCCAGATATCCATATCCATACCCTCAAATTTGATTCATTCAATACCACAAACAACACTTTTATTTCACACGATGCGTGCACCAATGTCAAGATACGAAGTGTTTATTTGATTCTCATTAACATCATTGTAGGCCAAAGTAAAGTTCGTTCTTCGTCTGTATATTTGTTTTTCAACAAAATCAGCTTTTTCAATAACATCATTTGGAGATTAGCATATACTATTAGATCCATGGCCGTAATTCTTTTTGCGATTATTTACATTGAACATTAGATTTTTTTCATACCATCAGTGACAAATGACCTTAAAAGTTGGCTTCCTCGTTCTCTTTGATTTTATGGGGTTTGGCGTCTTTCAGTCCTTTTTTTTTTTTTTGTTTGGAGTGTTAACAGTGGGAATGGAGCCTAGGATATTATGTTGAGGCACCTGCCCCCAAACCACCATTGCCTCGACCCGCTTCCCTCTTTCACCTCTGTTATTGATGTTACTCCTTCCTCGTTCTCGTCATCCATTAACATGATTTCTTTGGCCTCGTCTTATATGTGATTCTCCAATATGTGATTCTCCATTGTTTTCTTTCATTGCAAGTTTGGTTTGAAGTTTATGATCCAAAGAACATGAAGACTTCATAAATAATCTTTGTACATGGGCTTGCAAGGATCCCATAAAATGATCAACCATCAGAGCCTCCAAATTCTTTGATTCTTGGATTAAGTGACCATATTACTTTCTTTGTTACTCGAATATCTTCGAGTTTTTCTCCATTTCACCCTAATTGATTTACCACAACAAAGACTCTTTTGATTCATTCATGTACTGTAACTTAAAATCCGCCCTGAGAGTTCTAAAGGTTCGTCTTATCAACTCAATGAATTAATTTTCAAAAATCTCGTGCTCTTGCTCTGAATTTGTCGTGGAAGCAACTTTCTCAAAAGTGGCTCCATTTATTCGTTGATAGATGAAAAAGATTGCATTTCTATTCGACTTTTGTGACTCTTAAGAAAACTTCTTTGATAATGTTTTGAGACTCGGCCGAGGCCACTTGGATTGTGCCGAGTAACTCGGCCTTGTCCTATAGGCGAGGCAAGTAGGTTGTTCAACATGTTGATAAACTTTATCATAAATCTAAACTTTGAAGGGCGAGGCCACGAGTAACTCGGCCTTGCCCTAAGGCGAGTTTTGGGCCAGTAGGCTTTATAACACGATGACAAACTTTATTTACATAAGTCTGAACTTTGAAGGGCTATGTTTGAACTTTGAAGGGATTTGTGGTTAGTACTTATGGATAAGGCTTAGCGTGGTCAGGGTAGACAACATCACTTTTTTAAAGACTGCCAAAATGTAGGGCTTTGTGGTTAGTACTGATGCATAAGTCTTAGTGCGGTTAGGGTTCGATCCTCGCTACAGAACATCACCTTATTTGTTTAGTATTTAGCGTGGTTGGGGTTTGAACCTCGCTAATGAACTTCACTTTTAAAGACTGCCATTTTTTTTTTATGATAGAACTACTTTTCTAGGCCATTTTTTTTTTATGATAGAACTACTTTTCTCGGCCATTTTTTTTTATGATAGAACTTTGTTTGGAGTAAAGCCGCAAAGAATTGAGCCCTAAACCTCTTGCAAGGAGGCAGTTCAATGTGACATGGGGTAAATAAAAATCCATTAGCTGTTTAATGGTAAAAGCTGCCCATTAATTATACATGTTACGTGGCCGAGACGATTTTCTTAATATGGAACCCAACAATTGCCTAAGAACCTCGTATAGATTCATGCTCACTTGTTTAGAGTCATGTGTTGCACACATCAGCTATCACCTAACAAGAAATTCATGCGCTTTTGATGTTATGTTGGTGTGACCCCATTCTCTCTCTCTCTCATACACACACACAAAATCATAAATCATGGGCCTCCTTTATGCTCTGGTATTGCGGGGCATATCAGTTCCATCTGCATAAGACCATTACCTAACATTCACATGTATCTCCATCTAGATGTATCGCTACAGCCACAAAGAGTGAATGTATAATGCTCTTGTTGTCGTGCTTTTGCATCTGTGCAACTTTACCAAATGGACATTAGAGTAGGCAGGCCACAGCATGAGAGTCACCAATAAAATATGTTTTCTCTCTCTCTCTCTCTTAACAATTCATATATTTTCAGTTAGAACAGTGGGTCTATCACTATGCCATCTAAGCCCCTGAGGAAAATTTCTTTGCAAATTCAGGGAAAAGACAAGCTAGGTCTCATTCTTAAGCTAATGGTTGAGTCATGTGTCTCATGACTGAAAATTGGTGGGTGAAAAGAAGGCATCTTCTCCTTCCTCATGCTCAATCAGTGGCCTTATCTCACATCGGTTGATTGAAAATTTGTAATGATAGCTCAATTTGATGCTCTTCTCTCTTTTGCAAACACGCTCAAACTTGTGGGATGCAACCCAACTAGTAGTGCTATGTACGCAAGTACAAACCTAATCTTTTTGTCTTACCCATCAATTATTACTTCTCAGTACTGCGTTTCTAGAAATTTTAGTTGTCTACAAGCTCTTGAGTGTGACATCATGCCAAAATTGCTTTTTTTTTTTTCTTTGGGTGAATAAGTGGGGATATGGGCCCCTACCTGCTTTATTAAAAAATCAAAATAAATATTACATAAACAGTTCTTAAACAGCCATTGACGAGGGAACACTAGCAAAATCTGATAGGACGAAAGGCATTACAAAATCAAGGGGGCGAACACGCCACACTGTCGCTTCATTCATAGAAACCATTGCTTTGGCCAAAGAATTTGCAGCCATATTGGCCTCTTTATAAGCATGTTGGACCTTCCACTGCCAATCAGTGAAAGATGCAAGCTTAGATATATAATTAGATAAAATTAAGTGCAATCTCTTGGAGGCCTTGAAACGATGACTCATGGAATCAACAAGAAGTATGGAATCACTTTCAATAACAAGAGGTACACAGTTCAACTCCAGTGCCAATGAAATACCCTCTCAAGTGCATGGAATTCAGCTATGTTATTAGAATAGATACTCAATGGAATCGCAAAGGCTCCAATGAATCCACCTGCATCATTCCTAATGATTCCCTCACCGCCATCGGTACCCAGATTGCATTTAAGGGCCGCTATTGTGTTTGTTCTTTGATCATTTGCAGATCTTTAAATGTATTCCCTCGCCCTTATATTATGTAAATAGATTTTATGCAAATAATACATTCTTTTCATATTGGTTATGGCATGAATTGAGGTTATTTTTCTACTTAGGTAATTGATGGAGATGTTTAAGGCAAAGGGACAAGACTTCCATATGAACTTTATCAGTGTTTGAAAAGTCGGCCAAGTAATTTATACTCGTCCGAGTTACTTGGGCTCGGGCCCTTGCCGAACCCTAGTTGTCTCGAGTTGGGTGTCCAACTCGGGGATATAAAAGATATTCAAAAAATATAAAAAATCCTAACAAGTAAATAATTTATTACTTGTTTTATTACTTTTTTAACCTCATTTTGATGTGTTTTGCTTAATCGTACTTCAAAACAAACATTTCCTATTTTTTTGGATTTTTTGTATTTTTATAATTTTTTAACCAATTTTTGTTACTACAATACTCGACACTACTCAGGCCGAGTTACTCAAACTTTGTCCGAGCTCACGGATCAGGCATGGGCAGAGCACTTTGCCCGAGTAGTGGTTTCCAAAACTGGTCTTTATTAATTTAGAGAAAGCTTATGATAGAGTACTTCAATATTTTATTTGGTAAGTATTGGAAAAGAAAGGGGTCTTCATATACTACATCGACTCGGTGAGAGAGATATATGATAGAGCACTAACTAGTCTGGGAACAACTAGTGTAGATACGAGTGAGTTTTTAATGACAATAGGTCTACATTAGACATCAACGTTGAACCCATACCTCTTTTTTTGGGTAATTCAGTGGGGAAGACGGGCCCCAACGCATTTTCTCAAGTAGATTAGAAATTAACTTTTTGAAGGTATTGATTTGGTGGTGTTAGTGGTGGGAATGGAAACCACAACATGGTGACCAAGTTGTGGGGTGCTACCACCACGTTCTTAGCCCTTTTCTTAAAAAAGTGGTATGTCGGTGGGGATTTGGGCCCCAACCCTTTGATGAGATGGAGTCAGGGACTTCATCATAGGGCTCGATGATACTACCGCCAAGGCCCCAGGTCATTCTAAAAAAGTGGTAAGTCAGTGGGGATTTAGGTCTCTACCCTTTGGTGAGAATAGAGTCAGAGACCTCACCATGGGGCTAGGCAATACTACTGCCAAGTCCCCAAGCCATTCTAAAAAAGTGGTATGTTAGTAGGGATTTGGGCCCCTACACTTTGGTGATAATGGAAGCGGAGACCTTTCCATAAATCTCAACAGTACTACCACCAAGGCTCCAGACCATTCTCAATTGGGCCCATATCTCTTTGTCTTAGTTATGTGCGACTTAACTAGAAACCTACAAGATTAGGTACCATAGTGTATGTATTTTGCGGAAGGTATAGTTTTGATTAATGAGACTCAAAGCAGCATTAAAACAAAGTTATAACTTTAGAGGGACACTCTAGAATTAAAAAGATTTAAAATTAGCCCGACTAAGGTAGAATATATGGAATACAAGTTTAGTAATAATAGGAGTAGAGACGAAGAAGTAGTTAAGATTAACAACTAAAAAATAGCAAAAAAAGCACACATTCAATATCTTGGGATGATTATTTAAAAAAAAAATGGAGATATTGAAAAATATGTCGCTCATAGAATTAGAGCTAGGTGGGTGAAGGGGAGAAGTGCAACTGGAGTTTTATATGATTGTTGCACTACTAATGAAACTGAATGGCAAGTTCTATAGGACAACTATGAGACAAACTTCACTTTATGGGTAGAATATTGAGTGGTTAAAAAACAATATACTCATAGGATGAGTGTAGCTGAGATGAGGATGTTGAGACTGATGCGTAGAAAGACAAGAAGGGTGGAGTTTAAAATGAATATATTTGGGAGAACTTAAGTGAAGCTCCAATAAACGATAAGATGAGAGAAAGTAGACTTAGGTGAGTTGGCCATATGCATAATAGATAAAGTCCAACACTTGTTAGGAGGTGTTAGTTAGTTCAAGTGGAAAGCTAAAAAAAAAGAAAGGGTAAGCCCAAGAAGACAGTTGAAAATAGTGAGAAAAGAGGTGGGGACTTATAGCCTTACTGAGGGTACGATCTTTGATAGACTAGGATTCATGTAGCCGACTTCAAATAGCTCAGAAAAAGCTATGATGATGATCATGATGATGATAATGATTATTACTGGGTATAACATGAAAACAATTTCTTGAATAGATAAGTGCAGCCTGCGTTAGGGGATGCAATTCTACACGTGCGTCCCCTAACACAATTAACATTTATCTTAAAGATGATGTTAAAGGTAGGGGTCCTACTAAAATCTATAAATGCACAGTCTAGAAGAATACATCAAATAATATTATTTTTTACTTTTAAAAATAACTTTTTATATGTCTATATTGACCATGGTATAAATTGTCGATCCCTAAAATTTTGACTCAAAACCCATCTCTAATTAGGCCCTGGCCAGGTCGGGCCAGGTCGGGCCATTTTGGGTATATAGTATTATCGGATAGGGCTGGACTGAAAAAAGCTCGAAATCTGGTCACCTGGCCGGGCTGCTCTGACAAGCCCGAAAATGCCTTTGGCTGGGCCTAATAAGGCCTGGCCCATTTATTTTTCTTGTTTTTTTTTTTTAAGCAATAAAACATAGGTCTTCCCTCTACAAATCTCTCTCGAGGTGCTCTCTCCCTGCAAGTCACAAGGTCTTCCTCTCTCTCTAAAAAAACCAAAAAACTCCGAGTTAAAAGAGGAAGAGAAACAAAGAAGTTCAGAGAGAGAATACAAGAAATCAGGTGCCCCTTCTTTCGAGATTCTGCACTCGGAGCATCTCTCTCACTTTCTCTTTCTCCTTCTCTTTCTCTCTCTTTGAATCGAACTTTTTCTTTTCGGAATTTGGACGTTTTGTAATGTCTTAGTTTATTAGTGGATGGGATTTCCTGGCTTTTCGAAGTGGTTAATCTGTAGTGATCCAATCAGTTTTTGTGGTGTTTTTTTCCAGGGATTGCAGATTAATCCATGATTAATGAGAGTTCTTTTGCTACTTTTTCTTTCTTTCATGTGGTTTAAGGATAATACCATTATTTTTTTTATTAATTTTTAAGGTTTTGGTAGTTTTTCTTATCGAGATTTTACATATGGTCTCTCGTGCTGTCTCTCTGTCGTTCTGTCTTCTGAGAATTCCTTTGTTATTCTTCTTATCTCATTTGTTTGTAACATCGAAAGTTATGCAGTTAACAATAAAGTGTTTTTGAAATAGTGCATCTTGTATGCTAAGAAATAGGAACATCAAATACAACAACGCAAGAGAGATAGAGAGGTTCTGTGACAAAAATAACAGTTACCTCCTTGGACTTGTTTGTTGAGTTGGAAATCCCATTGCCATCTCATGATTTGGGCGAAACACTAGTGGGGACCCCATCACAGTCGTTCTATACGGAAGGTAAATAGAAGACAAAATAATTAGCTTTTTTTTTTGGCTTATAAGAATAGTTTGGAGAGATTTTAAAAAAAAAAATCTAAAATTGGGCCGGGCTAGGCCCAATAAGCCAAATGGCCCCGGCCAATATTCCAAGTATAATTCCTAGCCTTAACGGGTCGCGCCGGGCTTTCAGGCTTTTAACGGGTGGGCCTTACTAGGGCATAGTTTCAGGCTGGGCTTTTCCCGGGCTCCGGGCCAGTTGGCAGCCCTAATACAAATTTGGGAAAGAGGCTAGTTTGGCAGAAATCTCCCCATCAGAAGGAGATTTCCAGTAAAACAGGCATGCCCTAATATCATTAGCTCTACAAGCCAACCCTGCTAATAGTTTGACCTTGCAAAGCCCTCCTAAGTGCTTTTTTTTGTCTCGATATCCATATGGAAGAAATGAAAAGAATTTTTTAGAAGCTGTCTAATCATTCGAATTTTTGTTGCGAAACCTATAAATAATAGATCTCTTGGTTGAATCATAATCCACAAAAAAGAAAGGACAGATTTTGTGAAAGATTTTGCAGAAGCTGAGCCATGGGGCTTGGGTTTAAAAAGATAGTGATTGATGCTAGCAGCAATATTACATCTCAAGTTCAATTCCTATTGTTGAACTATCCAAAAAAAAAAATCTTAAGAAACCAAATCCAATATATGAAAACCCATTGAACAGTCATTTATACCGATTTACTACTGCAGATGAACAACAACAACTATTTCAAAGGAAAGTGAGGCCAATGAGTCACATCCAAGTGTGCTTAATACCTTTATTTTCATGATAACAATGATATAATTGTACCAAAATCTGTTTAGGGGTAAAGACCATGGGACTTATTCTAAAATTGTAAACCCTGATGCTTATTGGATTCCTCCTTGTTATAATTGTAAAGCATCATTAGAAAAATGTGCCTCAAGGCCTGATGCTCCTAGAATGCTCAGGGCCATTCAAGACCCTGATTTTTCTTGAGAAACGAAAAAAGGTGAATGAGAAAGTAGGAAAGCATAACTTTCAAGCATATTGTGAAGATCTTTAAGTGAAAAAACTCTAAAAGAGAGCGATCTTAGATCTCAAATCTAATCGATATTGGCAAGTTTCATACGAAATATTCTGACGATCCCATTGATTGGGACCCTTTATACGTAGCCCTGAGAGTGAGAGAGAGAGAGAGAGAGAGAGAGAGAGAGAGAGAGAGAGAGTAGAAGGTAGGGTAGACATTGCATGCATATACTTCCTACCCTCTCGCATACAACGACAAACCGAAACGACTATCGTCTTCCTTTCCCTTTTCCCTTCCCTTTCCCCTA